TTTAAAAAAGAAGTAATGTATCGCAGCTAATGAAAAACTCTAGAAGCAATTTGATGGTAACCTCAAGCTCATCATCATCATCGATTTCGTCTTCGTCGCAAGAGCTCAGACATTATACTGAAATGATCATGCTCCAATATTTTCATTAATTAACGCTAAAAAAAAAGGCCCATATGAATTGAGGATAACCTTTAAACAAACGATTATCAATTTTTGAGCATGCTCTTTCAATTGGTGTCAGCCTCAAGAGTTCAGAATTTAGAAAATTAGTTATAAATGTTTTTACGAAATCTCTTTGAAAAAAGAAGTAAAATATCGCAGCTAGTGAAAAACACAAGAAGCAATTTGATGGTAACCTAGCTCAAGATCTCAAACTTCTTTAACCCTCTAACTCCAACTAGTGACCAAGACAGAATTTCTCCTTCCAAAATCAATACAATATCAACCAGATAAGTGATGAGAATAAAGAAGTATATCAATTTGGGGATAATAAGTTTATCCAATACTAAATTCTCAGAACTAACATCGTAAGAATTGTATGGTTGACAGTAAGGAGAACTACAAATTTAATCTAGGAGTTAAAGACTTAACAATTAGGCTCGAATATTTTTAATGAATCATGTTAGAACGAAATTACGTATATATCTTTCGTTGACAAACCTAAGATGCAATTAGAGAACCAAACATCAATTCATGGAATATGCTTTTCCAATTCGTTTTAGCCGTAAGAACTCGTATGATTAGTCTCGAAGATTTCTGTAGGAATGACCCCCCAAAAAAAAAGATTTATGTCAGTTGATTGTAAACTCAAGAAGCAATTTGATAAACAAAAATTAATTTATAATTTGGATATGGCCTCTGGAGTTTAGTGTTAGTACTAAGGCTCGAAGATCAACATCGAATGATTAAAAAAAAATTCAATATAATTTGTTGACAAACGTAGGAGGAAGTTTGACATGAAACTATCTACTTTCGGTGTAGAAACTTTTAATTTGGTTTAAGACACAACTTCATAATACGTAAGCTCCAAGGGTTTAGCCGTTTGATCTGAAAAAAGGTTCATTTGTCTAAGAAACTGTAAGACAATTAACCTTATCAGAGATCTCACAAAGCATCCTGAAAAAAATTTATTAATAACAACTGTAGGAGCATGCTGATATATTTTTGCCTCAAGGGATAAGACATTCAAAAATTGAGCTTCAAGGTCTTTATCGTAGGAAGTAATAAGTGCATGTGAAAAAGTTATGAGAATCTCAATTTATCGGAGATCTAAAGAGAAAAATTCTATAACTTAGTTTTAAAAAACATTTATATATTTAATTGTGTTTAGCCTCAAGGGACATAACAATCAGGCTGTAGGTTGACCAAACTTTGACATCAAAGGAACGCCTTCTTTAAGATCTTATGACATCTTGGCAAATTATGCAACAGCAACAGAATGCCTTAATTGCAGGAAAATGCCCGGCCAAGTATCTGTTATGAGTGCCGATCATGAATAAGCTTGGTGACTCCTTCTCCTCTTTTTTTCCTATTTATTATTAAGTAAAATCAGTGGCTTCCCGGCACGTCACAACAACCAAAATATTTGCACTTGTTCAAATTCAAGATAAATTTTCTTAGAATCCAGTGGGAATAGAAAAAATTAAAGCCTCACACCCTTAGTTTGTGTATTATCTACTGAGTAATACAGTCCAGTTTGTTTTGATGTCCGCGGTAACGTGCAGGCTGATAATTCAATTTAGCAAACACAGTTAGTTTTGTCTTTAAAGGCTTGCACGTGCCCACCCGAATGGCAACTAATTTTATTTTGTTGACAGCAACCTTAAACAATCTAGGAAAATTTAGATGATCGATGTCATTCTTACAATTATTCCCTAATCTTACAACTTGAAGATAATTTGATGGAGTAAACCGTTGCTTTGGTAACTTGGTGGGTTAGTTGGATAGCCAAACCATGCACAATGATAATAAGGCACATGTATTTCCTTGACGTTGGTGAAACAGATAAATAGTATTCATGGTATAGATTTCATTCTTCGAGGGAACACTGCTGAAACAACTGAAAGTCACCTCAATCAGAAAGAGATCCAAGAAATCAGACAGTGAAGAACTTGATTCATTTCTTACTTTGCAGTTGTTCTTCATCGTTTTCTGAGTTAGTTTTGAATTGCAAACATTCGCTAAATCCAGGTTAAATCGTACAGCGCAGACGAATAGGCCAAGATAACTAGTTCTTTTTTCTTTATATAATAAAAGCCGGTTATCTAACCTTGCTAAAAGTTGTCATGTTACTCCATCCTTCCTTGATTTTCTTCGCGATGTTATATTTTCCCCTTGATACTGCTCTATGGATGAAAAAAGGCGAAAAATTTATCATTAATACGCACATACCTGAGTAATTGTCATTTTAGATAATAATTGTAAACGAAAAAAATCGAAAAACTTATCAGGTTAGAGTCACCACGTTTTCTGCTGACAAATTCAGTGTGCCTATTCTTAATGAACAAAGGCAGTAGGGAATTTTATTACAACAAATCTCTAAGCGTTCGAAAAGAAAATCTGTAATTGACAATAACTTCACTAACTTTGGCTTTGGCCTTTCACCTTAGACCTAAATGGAAAAGCCAACTGTTGCCATGGTATTTAATATCCATGTTTGCCACCACGAGAAATAAAGCTTCATTTCAAAGTGAACTTTGGTTTTTGATCACTATATTAATAGCGTTTGAAATACTCTTTTCGTCAAAACGCTGTAATGATAAAATCTAGTTGAGAAATTATGTACAGGAATGAATATAGAAAAAAGTAAACGAGCGATAAGTTCACTAACAATAAAGTACGAATTTCTCACGCTGCCACTAAGTCACGTTCAAGAAGAACTGTCATGGCGGCTGCCTCAGAGGATTTGTCTTAAACTGTGCTATGTGTATTACGCTCTTCCTTCCCACAGCTTAACTCTGTAGATAAATTTTACAAGGGCCAAAACGAGAAATGTGAGCACTGTATTTCGATAGGTTATTTACCTGAAGAAACGTCGTTTGAAAGTGAAAAGCGTGAATCCTCGACATGGTATCTCAACCACTTAATCCAGTGTAAGAAACACTCACCGACTTGGATAGAAGCGATAATAGCCAAGGTAATAGGGTCGAGATTAAAAGTTTGTTGACTCCGAAGAAGCGAGAAAAGACGCTTAGATTTCTTGGAACTCATAAGCTCTTTCCACGTGCACGACTGAGCGTAAATATGAATACTGATTTTGAAAATTATTTGTAATTCAAATGAGTTTCCGACTTCAAAATTCAGTTTTGAAATAATCAACACCTAGTAGATTTCCTAGCTTTTAACAGATTTTCAACGTTTAAAAAATTTCAAAAGAGAACTGCAAATAGTTTTACAGTTTCAAAAAGTATCAACTTGAATAACTCGAACTTAACCAACTTGAGCTAGAATCAAATAAATGAAAGGGGAAAGTTTTTATTGAACCTGTGGTGCTGCGTCGGTGGGAGAGTATAACAGGGTAATTTAGTATTATCAACTGAGTTGATAACGTAAATTGGCCTGTTGAACTAAAGACAGTTTGCGTCAAAAACAGTTTTAGTTATTACAGAAATGTATAACCTAAGGGACCGGTCATCATTTTTAACCAATGAGGGGGAGGGGGGGGGGGGGAGGGGGAGGGTGGTTTGTAGGATGTTGGTTTTGTCACGACGAAATTATCTGATGACCCTAAGCTCTGTAATATTCCTATGATTCCTCCCTCGTTGGCAGTCAATTTTACATAGCCCCCCCCCTCTGTACTATGTTGGCGACGACTGATCCCCCTTCGCTTCCCCTGAAAACCGTATGATCCCACCAATATCCCTCAATATCTCTTGCACCCTCCCCCCCTACCCTCCGGGCGACAGGTAGTGACTGATTCTTAAGTTTCAGTATTTCCCCATCCCAGGGGCCATCATATCAAACAAGCACCCGTCTGTTGAGTAAGCACCCTCTCCTCCTTTACTTTCTGAAATATTAAGATACAAGGAAAACCTGTTACTATTACCACAGCGGGTTCAGTAAAAGTTAATTAATAATTAATGATAATAAATAATTAGTTTCTTTATAATCACTCACCTTGATTAAACGCCATCGTCTCCTATTAGCCGAAATTTTGATCGAGCGCCCGAGTGCTTACTCAAGGAAATTCAGTTTCTGCCTCTGTGATTGACTATCGGTTAACTATAACTACACGATACATGGGTAAGTTTTCCTTTTCCCAAGGGCTTCTCAAGTTAATGAGGTATCGCTTTTCTTAAATCTGCTTATCCATCGTTCGAACAATCGTTATCGTCGCTTTTGAAACTTTGAATCTCTTTTATTCTCACGCATATTCTCCTCTTCGTTTGCGAAGTCTACTTTGATCAAGGATAGAGGAAAACAAAGGAAAGAGCACCATGTCGTTCGGCCTGACCGACGCTATTTTGGTTGAGTCGATCTCTCCATGTACTCAGTTAAACATTTCTGCCTTTGGCCTCCTCCCCCAGATAATTAACAGAAGACAATAGCACGACCCTGTGGACAGAACCCAACCTTGTAGGGGAGGCCGGATATAACGCATTTAATCAGAGTTTAATGCATAAATTAATCAGAATGTAGTAAACGAGTGGGTGAATTTTAGTTCTATTCCTACACCTCATAGGGTGGCTGACGCCATATCATAAGTAAAAAAGTAACAAAAAAAGTCAAAATAAACTAGATATATAGTCACACACTGACAAGGCATTCAGCATTCCTCTTTATTTTTAAGTTCACGTCTTTGAAAGTGAAGGCAAACAAAATCTCGTGCACCTGTCATGTGTTACCTGTCGTTAAATATATAAAACATTGCAGCAATAGGGGTTTCTCTAAAATGAAGCTAACATAAATTCGGCTCAACAACAAGAAAAGGTTCACTGAATTTCCTGACCAACCACAACTCATCAGGAAGACTTTTAAATTAACAAGTTCTTTACCAAAGAGTTTGCTATGAGAACGTGTCCATAAGGTTACAATAGCGTGGGTAAGTCTTGTGCTTTACCTACTCAAAGGGGATTTCAAATTCCCAAAAAAGCTCATAATTTTGCTGCCTTTGTTTTATTTTCAACCAAGCTTATATGGAGATAGGAGATTTTATTCAAATTAGTCACTCCTCAAATAACTTTGGAGACACTTTTATTTCTGCGGGGAGACCTTTCATGTCAGAGATATCAAGCAGAGGTTTAACAGTAAAAAAAATTATGTAAACAATCTAATTCACAAAATATATCTAAATGGGCAGTATTGTCAAGTGTGGTTAGGTAAATGTCTTTCACAGTTTACGAAAAATATTGTTGTTCAATTCCGCTTTAATTCGACCACTCTCAGAAATAAGAGTTTTCAACTTCGAAAGACAGAAACCCCTTATCTCAGCGTGATCATTAATTGCTGTTAGCAGCCTCTTTAACGTTATAATTTATAAAAATAATATAATTATTCTCTCTTGTTTTCTGTCATACATCCGCTGACGATCCTCTCTTTACTGTGATCATTTTGCGACGGACAACTGCAATCACCACAAGGCACAACACAGCAAACATTCCAAGAACAACAGATACACCAATCAAGGGGTGCTGCCACGGAGAATCTGAAGATGGAAGATAAAATTAATATCATTCTCAATTTTTGAAAGGAATTAAGGATGAAATGAACTTTGCTTTTCTGCTTCTTGTGAAGCATTAGCCTTTAGACCAATTATATGCCAAACTGAAACAGTCGCACCAGTATCCCTCGCTCCAGGCCGGGTACGTGCATTGCAATTCTCATTGGCTCTCTCTGATATTTTCTTTGCTCTGATTGCCCTTTGATCTTGATTTTTCGCGAAAAATGTTTCAATATTCAAACAAGCAAAAAAGAAAACAATAACATCTAGCGAATGAAAAAAAAAATACAAAAAAAAAAAATATATATTAAACTTCGAAATCAAAAACAAAAGTACTTATAAATTCTTTGAACAAAACAATTTAAAAGGTTTTTTTGGTCCTGTTTTAAAGAGCAGAAAAAGATACAAAAAAAGTTATTGTATCTAGCTTTCTTGATTTGAATTATTCCCTCCATTAAATCATTAATGAAGACAGTTTGCTTTTCAATTTACCACATAAATTATTACTGTTGATAATATAACCCTAAATTCTGTACCTTTCACCCGCTCAGTGTTCGTTAACCAAATTGGGCCATGGCTGAGTAACGTGGTATGCACAGGTGCACTATATGGGAGGGCTCTGCGATGGCGGTTTCTGGGAAGTACGTCACAGTTTTTGGAACACTCTGAGTTTGGATCTGATGAATTGCAAACCACGGCCTGGAAAATAAAGGGAACAAGATTGGTTCCACTGTGATTCATACACAGCTCGATTCCAAAACACGTTAAGTTCACGGGAAGTTAATTATAACATACTTGCCGCAGCCATAGGTTTTGAAATTCCCTTACTTTTCCCTGAAATATGTAAAATTTCCTAGACAAACGGAATTAACAATTTAACGAATGTGTCCTTATGGCCTCCAACCTCCCCTCACAACCATCCTATCCACCCATTTATAAATGCACGTCACCTACAGGAACAACTTTTAACTTTTAAAGTTTTTGTGGACGAGTAACGAAAAGCTCAAAACTTGGAATGTCTCTGAACTAGGAAACCTGTCATGGGAATCTTTTTTTTATCTTCACTTCTACGGAAAAGGTGTTCAGGATAATGTTTTAGGGCAAATGCGCCTTAAATGTGTCTTTTACCTTGCAGTGGATGTACACAAACGGATCCGGTGAGTTGACAAACTGGAATGTTTGAACACTAAACCGGTGAAGGCCCTTGTTGTCATCATTATGGTGATATTGCACTGTGGGATCCTGGGGACAACTGCAAAGAGATCAACGGGACACTATGATGAATTCGAGGATTTACTTTCTTCCACTGAGTGTCTACGGTGAGCTACGCGTCCAGTATACTGCTAAGTCAGCGAATTCGAAAGCCTCCGAAAGATTGTGAATTTTACGCTCGAAAATCAAACCCATAATGATGTCTTTAGTCTTGTGAAAAGCGCGGGACAAATAAAAAGTTATGTCGGGAAAGCCTTACCCATTCAGAATAAGATTGTACTGTATGGTGCTGTTCGGGTTTGGATCAGGAGTTGCGTGACATCGCTGAGCCTGCACAGCCAAGCGACGATCTTCAGAGTCGACACTAAGTTGAAGGAATACTCTCTCATTGACTTTCACTCCAATAGGGAAGCTTTGGTCACCATAGGGACGAGTATAGCCCTGATCTTTGAAGACTCCCAAGTTTATGTCGAACATTCCCACATCAGAGGCGTTGCCTCGGATAATTTTCCTGCTGGTTTCCAGCTGAATGGCGCTGGCTTGGACTTCCTTTAGGTAACAGCATCTGAAGTTTATAATTGCACAACAATATGTGTCGTAAACTGATATACTTATTTACTTTACCAAAGGCACACGACACCAAATAATATCGGCATCTAGAGAGGCCTGCAAACAGAGGTTTGCATGAGGTCGAACACTAATTTATGGTGCCACGTCCCCTGCACATCCCTCCTCGACACGTCTCAAATCCTCCCGTGAGGCGAAGAAACGCGCGTCTTGCAGACGCAATAATAACGTGGGTCTGCGATCAGCCAAACACCCTGAGAATATTAACAGCAATTGTTAACGATGAGGAGATGATTGGAAACAGTATGAGGTTGATGATGCCCATGCCCACAACAAAAACTTCCATTTTTTTCCGAGGGGAAAAATAAAAGACTTGATTTTCTGTTTCAAGTATCCGGCAATTCTAACTCATTAAATGATGGATGTAAATGAGTTTGAAAGTTTTGAATTCCAAGGTCGATAGATATTCTCTGGGTTTGGCGACGAGTTTTTATAAAAAAAGGAACTCGTTTCGAAAAAGAGGCCAAACGTAATAAGGAAATGGGCTATTCAGATCTATACAACATTTAGGCAAAAAGAAAAGAAAAAAAACCTGTGAAAGCAATAAAACGACTACACTACCTGAATGGAATATCTACGTCTGCTAGCCTCGTAATGATGCCCTGTGGCGGCTTCTCTTGGATAGTGTTTTCATAAATGAAGAAGTTATCTGTATCTATCAGCTTCGTTCCACAGGAAGTAAAGTTTGTTTGAAACAGGAAATGCGTACCATTATCGGTTGGGAGGCATTTCGGGTTGTTTAAGCGAACGTCAGTTCTGCGCATACCCATAAGGAACGACTTATCCAGAATCACCTGTATGAGTGTCTTTCCACAGGAAATTGCTAAATGCTCGTTTATGACTTGAAGTGAAAAAACAAGCACACAAACGAACAAGCACACAAACGAACAAGCAAAAAGAATAAAAATCAGAAATTCAGTTATTGACTAAGGGTGGGAATGGTTGAATGGTTTCGGAAAACATTTACACACATAAAGCTTATCCACCGAAATCAAATTTTCGTTAGGTCTGTTTTTTCCACCTGTGTTTGAGAGGAGGGGATAGCTTTAGATAAGGGTTTATTATGGGAAATGTTTAATTACCTGTATTCTGAATTGTTTTAAATTTAGGAACACCAATGACTCAGTATGCAAACTAATTAGAGCTGGTAAAAATATGCCTGGACCGCTTGAAGTAGGCTTATACTATATTGCAAAACGAAACAAAACGAAACGAAACCAGGCGACATTATAACAAAACTAGAGGAATAATGAAGATGTATTTTGTAATAAGGTAAAAATAATTTTCACAAGGATTTTGGAGTAATCTTTAGTTGACAAGGAAGATTTTTATTTATCTCGCAAAGTGGTAATTAAAGAAGAGTTCCATTTTGCGAAATCGACTAATAGTCCATTTCGCAAAATATAACTCTCCTAAATAACTATTTTGCGAGATATATTTAAAACGGTTTAAGAAATAACAGTAGGCCAAACTCTTTATTGATATACTAGTTTGTAATGTTTAAATTTTTTTTGTGACATGAAAGAGGTCACGTTGTCACCGCAGGGTGAAAATAGTCAATTTAGCGAAATAATAACTCTTCTGAAATTACTACTTTGCGAAATGAATAAAAATCCTTCTTATCAATTGACAATTACTTCAAAATCCATTTGAAAGTTTTCTTTCTATTTTTTTCAAGGGAAACGTGACTCATGCAGAAGAAGAAGGGAAGAAGGTGTCACTTTGTAGGTTTCTAATAACGGTCGATCGATTTATTTCATTCAACTTTTGCCTTGAATGTTCTTGACCATCTTAAAAACCATACGCAAATTACCAAAAACATATTTCGTCAAAACAACTTAAAAATGAAGCAACAAACCTGTGAAGCCTCCAGTTGCACCAATGCTTTCTTCTCTTTCTAAATCCGAAAATTTCACAACATTTCAATCGAAGTTTAAAAATGTCAACCTAATATTTAACTCCCAAGATCTCATTATTAATTCTCCTTACTGTCTGCCATACAGTTCTTCTGATGTAAGTTTGGAGAATTTTGTATTGGATCAACTTATAATCCCCTAACTGATATTTTTCTTCGTTCTCATCACTTTTCTGCTTGATATTGTATTGATATTGTGAGGAGAAATTCTCTCTCTGTCACTCATGGGAGTTAAAGGGTTAAGAACGGGAATGGTTACCTGAAGATGGTATGTTTGACTATCTCATACGTGCAAGCGAGTCTGATTCATCGATAAGATAAGATCATGAATCAGGAGGCCGACACTGCATCATTACATGAGTCATTCTCTACTGACATCTAATAGCGTTAACCCTTTGACCATAAGAGTGACCAGCATCTAATTTCTCCTTACAATTTCACCCCAAATCACAAATCAAGGTCACGAGAATAGAGGAAATGATCACCAACGAAAAAGGCTCCTGAGTGTTAAACAAATTGTCCTTGTCAGCACCATGGGAAATTTTCAGAGAACAGTGTGTAGAATTTGCATGGTGATGTTCAGATGTGAAGGGCTAAAGGATTCAACCTTCCTCTTAGGGCTAATGCTATCTTTCTTTCACCTTTGCTGCACCGAATATCTGGAACACGCATCACTAAAGGTATTTTAATGGCAGGTTGAAATCTCGCCTTTTTGACGCATTTATAAATACCTTTCTTATTTCATTCTCCCAAATTAAATTTAATAAAAAGTAACGCAGTAAAAACCATGAAGTTTCGGCGACGATATGTCACCATTATCAAATGCAAATGAGAAAAGACTCCGATCCAGCACAACTTTTCACTTAGTTATTTCATTCTTTTGTTCTCCACATTTTAATGCTATTTTTCTAAGTGAATCATCGGTAATCTTTCCTTATTTGCATTGATAATGTGATATGTCGATACCGAAACGTCATGGTCTTATAAAGTTGCTTTTCATCATTAAATGTTTTACAAAATCTCTCGTTATCATGGTATAAATTTATCATTTTATCATTCACATTAAAGCAGTCATTATCTTTATGGATGTTATCATCCTTAACTTTGTTATCATCGTCATTATTATTACTATTTTCAACATTACCATAACTCCACAAGCGTCATTATTTACCTCTACAATCCAAGCCATCCCCAACGTATCCATCCATACAAGAGCACTCGTACAAACCAATGTTATTGGTGCAAAAAGCATTAACATTACAAATATCAATTCCCAATTCACATTCGTCAACGTCTGAAAAGCACAAACAATACCTCTTTTAAATCTAACTGAGACTTTGGCTTTCTTATGATGTCATAAAACGAGAACTATTTTTTCTCGTGAAGAGACGTTCATGACGTATTTATGTCCTGGAAACCGATGGAAGATGAATTATTGAGTGAGTGAATCATTGAAGTTTATCATTACAATTATTTTCATTTCTAATTAAGAAAATCAGACTTGTAGTGAAATGATTTAGAGGTTAGGCTATATTTCTCACTGTTCTGGCACTCTTTTCGGTTCGTTGAAATTTGCCGTTTCTCCTTAAATTACAATGTTCATAATTAAAGAAGCAATCTGTTCCCACCTTCACACTTCTGACCATTGCCTGTATACCCCATTTTGCACATGCATGAAAAGACCTCATCTTTACTCAGACACACTGAGTTAGTATGGCAGTTGGTACAGTCATTAGAACCTTCGAGAAAGAATACAGGTACGTATTTGAATCTATATCGGTTCCATGAAGTTTGTTTAATTGCTGGGGAAAGTTTTGAGACAAACCTAATTATAATTTAACAACGTTTAATTAATTAAGCGGAGTATCTGGATATACCTATTTGAAGGGCGATACTATCGTATGAAAAACAAACTTCATCTGTGATCTAACTTTTTAGAATGCTTCTTGTGTATAAGCATACGACCGCAAAGGTCACAAGAAAATTTAGAATCAAGGAATATAAGCCGTCTAACATCAGTTAAGAGGCAAACGTCATGTTTTGTTGATTGGTGTGTTGGAATCCAGATGGAGAGAAATGGATTCGAGCCTTGGAGGGGTCACTTTATTATGATCTTGGGAAAGACACGTTACCCTCAAAGTAGCTGGAAATCAAACTAGTCTCTCTTCCAGGAGAGTGGCAATACCTAAGATAGCATCATGTTTAATAAGATTATAAACAAAAAAATCAGAATGAACTGCGACAGGATCAACTACTTGGGACAAAAGACTTCTTCTAACCATCCAATCTGCCCTGGAGGGATAGTAAAGAAAAAAATAATACAGTACAGACGACAATAACAATCTACGAAATAACCAATCTTACCTTTCACGCCTTTGTTGATGATCTTTTGAGCAATAGCATTCCCATCGTCATCATCGTCTATTTGGATGACGATTCCTTTGCTAGGAGCAAGTCTAGACAATTCATCTAAGTCTGCAAGAGAACCAACTGCCACGGGCAAAAGGGTAATACCGCTGTCTTCAAACTCTTTAGCAGAGACCGACAACACTTGAGGAGAGTTCACTGACTTTTGATCAATCAAAACTACCAGGATCTTCTTGGCATCCGGTCGCGGTGGAGCATTTTCAAATATTTTCTTAGCTTGATCGAGAGCATTCTTCAGGTCTGGTGTGCCTTCAGGTCTCACTACCGCGTTTATGGCGTCCTTAAAACCTTGCGCGTTCTTAAAGTCATCCGTGAAATCGATCTTGGTACTGGCTTCCTGTCCGCATGTGATTAATGCGTATCGTGTCTTCTTTGTTCCATATTCGTCTACGATAACTTCAACAGTGTCTTTCATGATCTTCAATGTTGGATCAGATAATGAGGCAAAAATCACGCCAAGATCAATCTTTGCAGTAACAGCTAAAAAAAAAGAGAAAAGTCTAGAATTTGGAAACATCTATTATGCCCTTTGGAAAAGGTCTGGCGTAAAAGTACCTTGGCAAGTTGTTCCGTCTCCAGTGAATCCTGGTTTGCACGTACAACTGTAAGAGCCCTTACTATTCACACAGTTGGCGTTCTTGTCACAAGCTGTGGGCTCTCTTGAACACTCATCGATATCTATCATGAAAGAGAGTTGCGTTCCTTCATGATAATTTTAGGGTGCAAAAAGTCAGACTTTTCGCAACAATCTTATCGCCGAACGTCACACCACCAATGACAGGCATGAGGCTTTTACATAATTTAAAAATGGTGAAGAAGAGCGAGTTCCTAATGTGAGTTTCAATTTATTATTTGTTTCCAGTTTCATAATTTCTTTAAGAAACTACCTTGGCACGTTGCTCCATCCCCAGTGAACCCTGCCTTACACGAACAGTTGTAGGAACCATCGGTATTTGAACATTCCGCATTTTCGTCACACGGGCTACGCTCCGCTGAGCACTCGTCAATGTCTGGAAAAAAAGTGATGAACACACGGTAGTTCTTTCCCTTCAAGCACTTAGTTGTCCTTTTGACAAAGAGGGTTGAGGATATTTTTGGGTCTAAGTAATAGCTTAGCACAGAGAATACAACAGCGCAAAATGTTGATAACTTCGAAGCAGAAAAAGAGGAAGACTTCCTTTGTTATTGGATTGTGGACGTTTACTTATTGATCTATTAAATTTATAAACTAAAGCGGAAATGTGGTTGGATGAGGTAAAATGCGACGGGCAAATGCTCCATTAAGGTATGGTAACGAAATCAAAGACACAACTTAATATAACTTAAACGCTTTAATTTGGACAGAAGATGACAAAGATGATTTGATGCACGGAATGGGTCTTTGCTAGTTGTTGAAAGCGCTCTTGATAAATCTTGCTTCATGTTGAACGAAAAATGAACAGTGTTGGTGGCGGATTCCATGAGTAAAGTAGAAGAACTTTTATTGATTGTAAGGTTGACTGAGCGGCAGAAGTGGTGAAACGAATGTTCTTCATTCTCCCACACCTTAACAAGAGTTGGCGAGTCCCTTTTTAAAAGTAAAGCTTTAGTAAACCTTATTGTAGGTGCAATCAACATTCTCGTTACCCAGTCTGGACCCCTGAACACTCTACAGCTTTTAGTTGAAGTAAATAATAAAGTAGGAGTGGTAAAGGGGTCGCGCGACGTCAGCTTGCATACTGCACACTCAAAGAAATCTTAAACATATCCACTGAAAACGAACTCCACGAAAACTTATCACTCGCATGGTGTCCTTTATTTTGTGTAGGTACCTTCGCAAGTTTTCCCGTCGCCATCGAAACCTTGTTTACAAGTACAGCTGTAAGTGCAGGGGTCACGGTTAATGCAGAATGCATTGTCGTCACAGGGATCCGATGTACATTGATCGATATCTGATTTTCAGAGAAACAACCAGAGATGATCAATATTAGCAGACATTAACTGAGTTTTTTTGAACGAAAGAAGGAATGAGTAAAGAAATATGGAAAGAAGATTATTAAACGGACTGACTGACGGAACGGCGAGCTGAAGCTACCTGCAGCTGCAAACCTTGCTTAAAGATGAACAAACAGGGCTGACGTAAACTTTGTAATCTATTAATTCAAATTGTACGTAAAAACTGAAATAAACAACAAAAAAGAATGAAATGAAGGAGAGATCACCGCAGAAGAAGTCAAGTAAACGGCGACAAGAAATTTGAGTCTATTGGTTCCGAGGAAGAGTCTCAGTACAATCTAAAAAATTCAGGAACGCCATGATACAACGCTATTTACAGTTTTCCTCGACAAAGGGACAATTTACTTTGGGTCTTAAATACGGCGTGGAAGAAAGACGAGTACGTATGTATACGCTTAAGGCACAACGGATCGTCCCTTAGTTATGCAGAGGGCGATAAGTGGTTATTAAGTTTTCCAAACCTATACAATATCCATCATTTGCCTGACATGCTGGTAAACAGGTGCACCTGTAAGAACCGTCACTGTTGATGCATAAGGAATTGGAGGCACAAGGAAAGTAGTCTGCTTCACACTCGTTGATATCTGATTTGAAGGATTGTTTGGTTATACCGTCAATAGTTAACGACAACACTTGAATATAACTTTTTATAAACGACTGAGAATATAGGAAAGTCATATATTTGAACTGGGGATAAAGACGTGAATATGAAAGCGATCTTCGCAGTAATGAATACTACTTGAGCAGCAGTGAAAATAAGGCCTGAAAAAAAATTCATGCTTGTACGGGATTTGAACCCATGACCTCTGCGATACCGGTGCAGCGCTTTACAAACTGAGGTAACAAGCTAACTGGAGGCTGGTCATTATGTTGGTTCCAAATAAACCCGTGAAGAGGTGAATAAACGACTGTGAATATATGAAAGTCATATATTTCCCGTACAAGTCTGGGGGATATTTCTAAATGAATACCACACTAATCTTCCTTGATCACGCCAACTCTTCTCCAAACTTTTCGATCAAAAAATGTTAACATCCCAACTACCTTGGCATGAAGTTCCATCTCCTGTGAAACCTAGTTTACATGTACAGCTGAAAGACCCGTCAGAATTTACACAATCAGCATCTGAAGCACACGGACTGGGATCCGCTGAACATTCGTTGATATCTACGTGAAATAAATAAAAGGTCTGCAGTTAAACATTTTATTTACAAGTGGTCATAATTCCACACCTACGTTTCCTCGGGCAGAAAAAAGGACAAGAAAACACTATTACGCGTCCTTAGATGGAATAAGTCATAGCTGTTGGTTTCTAAAGTAAGATTGAACAACAATAGCTCTTTCAGTATACTAAATATTATAAAAGCTCGCTTTGTGTAGTTACCCATATAAAAAAGTGGGGGGTTTGGTTAGAATTAGTTGACGGAGCCTGTTGCATCGTGATAATTTTTCATGGCAGAAGCACGAAAACAAATTAACATATTGGATGGCTTAGAGAAAGTTGCTCACCTCGGCAAACTAAACCATTTCCAGTGAATCCTTGTTTACAAGAACAGTTGTAGGAACCTCCAACATTGGTGCACTGCGCGTTATCACCACACGGACCAGGTTCTGTTGAGCACTCATCGAAATCTAAGGAGGTCGAAGAGAAAATATTACCTCAAGTGTAACCTGTACTTACCTAACGATACAGATGTATCAAGATTTTATCTTGATAGGGATCATTCCTGAGAAATTACCTTTACAAGTTTTTCCGTTTCCATCAAACCCTTCTCTACAACTGCAGCTGTAAGAACCTTCACTGTTGGAACAATTAGCGTTAACATCACACGGGTTGGTCTCCGAGACGCATTCATCGATATCTAATGGTGTAAATTGGAAAACAATTTCATTATTCCTCTTGGTAAAACGTCTCACCGCATTAACTTTGCCAAAAAATGGATGTCATAACTATGAAGCGTTTGTATGAATTTCAACAAACTTATTCCTCATACATGTACCTTGGCAAATGGAACCATCTCCAGTGAATCCCTCTTTGCATGCACAGCTATAAGAACCGTTACTGTTGCTGCAATCCGCGTTTTTATCACAGATGCTGCTGTCGGCTGAACACTCGTCAATATCTAGTAGTATTTGAGACTTATGTCATTCAAATTGACTTCCACACCCTTTAAGGTTCCTAAACTTTACAGATAGTGCGGTTTTTTCAGGAAAAATAACTGTTGTTGTATTATCTTGTTTAGCCAGAGGCATAACCACTTCATATTCAGTAATGACTAAGCAATTCATTGACCAATTAGTTTGACATCAGACGAGATGGAGTGCGCTTTTTGAAGGAGAGCGTGGTAATTAGCCATCTTAAATCATACGGTTTTACAAAATGGTTTTTACAAACCATTTACTGTAAAATGTATCTACTTGGTGCCTACCTTCACAGGTAATGCCGTCTCCTGTAAATCCTTTTTTGCAAGTACAGTTGTATGAGCCATCAGTGTTGTTGCAACTGGCGTTATCACCACACGGACCAGGTTCTGTTAAACACTCATCGAAATCTGGTGAGATCGAATAGAAGAGATTACTTTAAGTGTAACAGGTACAAAATAAACGATTCAGATTTCTGAAAATGTTCTCTTGACATGGGTCCTAAAAAAATACCTTTACAATTTTTTCCGTCTCCATCAAACCCTTCTCTACAACGGCAGCTGTATGAACCTTCGCTGTTGGAACAATTAGCGTTCACATCGCACGGGTTGGTCTCTGGAGCGCATTCATCGATATCTAATGGTGAGAATTGGAAGGCGATTTCATTATTCGTTTCGGTAAAAGGTCTCTCTGTCGACAAATCGATGTCATAAATATGACGCGTTTGCATGAATTTGAATGAACAAGCTTTAGATCTCATACCTTGGCAAACGTAACCATCTCCAGTGAATCCCTGTTTGCATGCACAGCTATAAGAACCGTTACTGTTGCTGCAATCCGCGTTTTTATCACAGATGCTGCTATCGGCTGAACACTCGTCGATATCTAGTGGTATTTAAGACTCATGTCATTCAAAGTAGCTGTTAAACCCTTAACAGGAAGGTTCTTAAACTTTACAGAATGTTGCATTTTTTTAGAATACTAATTGCTGTTGTGTTATCTCGTTCAGCCAGAAGCATAACCTCTACATATTTAGAAATGACTGACCATTTCATCGGTCAATAGTTTGATATCAGACAAGATGGAATATGGCTTCTGAGGGAGAGGATCGGAAATCGTTACAAGTACTAGCCATCTTAAAATCTTGTTGTTTTATAAATATAATAACCTCCCGTCTACCTTCACAGGTTATGCCGTCTCTCGTGAATCCTTTTTTACATGAACAGATGTATGAGCCATCAGTATTATTGCAATTGGCATTATCACCGCATGGACCAGGCTCTGTAAGACACTCATCGAAATCTAAGGTGGTGGACAAGAAATATACTTTTAGCGACCTTTTTATCCTTAATTGAAAAGATTTTAAGACTTGAAATCGAACTTTCGCCATTATTGAATTCTGATACCTCTACATGCTTTTCCGTCGCCATCGAATCCCTGCTTACACTTACAGCTGTATGAGCCGTCAGTGTTGATGCAGTCTGCGTTTTTGTCACAAGCACTGGGATCCGTAGAACATTCATCGATATCTGTTTGATCGGAGAGTACCTCGGTGTCATTTAACAGATATAAAATAAGCAAAACTTTGGCCTTAGCTCGATTAGGATTACAAAGAGGAAACATTCTAATTAATTATCACGAGCGAAGGATAATCTTGCGGATCAAATTCCTCCCCCCCCCTCCCCTTCTGAGAAATTAACTACACCTTTCTTTCTTCCATAACCAAGTTTACACTTGGTTATGGGAGAAATTATAGAACATGCAAAAAATGTTCGTTCCAAGAATGGGCACGATGAAACCTAACTTCAGATAGTTTTCTATCCTAAGCAAATCCTTGCTGACCATTAAAGTTGTAAGAGCTGTCATTGCTGCAGGCGTGCAGTTTTCTTGTCACAGCGATTGGAATCCACAAAGCACTCATCGATATTCGAAATTTCACTCAAAAAGTGTCACTTGATGCTTGTAGAAATTTATGCACTTTTGTTCACAAAGCGATCTTTTACAACGACATCATTTTTATACTCTTGCTTTTGAGCAAAGTCATCTCTAGTACTCACAGACAGCCAACTTGAGCGCGTTTTACATCGGGTGTAAACGCCAACCTTGTTATAAATTACCTTGACAACTTGCATTCCTGCTGTCTAAAGTTATTTCCCATGTAGGAAAATACAAACCTGTACAAGTGATGCCATCCCCAGTAAATCCCTGCTTACAAGTGCAGCTGTAGGAACCGTTACTGTTGGTGCAATAAGCGTTTTGGTCACAGGGACTGGTATCCACCGAACATTCATCGATATCTAATAGAGAGGAAAAGAAGACATCAGAGGAGGGTCGACCCTGATTCGGACCATCTCCACGGAAACCTCGTTTTCAAGTACAGTTGTAAGAACCGTCTGCTGCTCATTTTTTAGAAATTTAGGCAGCCTTTAAGACAAACAGTCAACCTGAGCGCGTTTTATATCAGGTGTAAACCCCAGCCTTGCTATAAATTACCTTGACAACTTGCATTCCTGCTGCCTATAGATATTTCCCATTTAGGTAAATACAAACCTGTACAAGTGATGCCATCCCCAGCATATCCCTGTTTACAAGTACAGCTATAGGAACCATTACTGTTGGTGCAATTTGCGTTTCGGTCACAAGGACTAGTATCCGCCGAACATTCATCGATATCTAATCGAGAGGGAAAAAAGACATTACCACATGCTCTTGCTTTCAACAGAAGGGCCGCTTTGAAATAAGACAACCTAAGTACGGGCTAATGCTGGAAACACCGGCCTCGTAATGAAGTACCTTTACCACTTCTGTTTCTGCCGTCTAAAGGTATTTCTCAAGTTGGACTAAGATGTAAAGATAACTCAAAATTAAAGCAATGAGTGGCAAAATACAAACCTGTACATGCTACACCATCCCCAGAAAATCCTCGTTTACAGGCACAGCTGTAAGAACCGTCACTGTTGGTGCAATCTGCGTTTTGGTCACAAGGACTGGTATCCGAAGAGCACTCATCGATATCTAGTTTGAGAGAAAAAGTAGACATCAGTGGTAGCTCGATCTTGCACATTTATTAATATCTGAGTTCAAAGGGAAAAATAGTAAAAACTTTCAAAGTAGAGAAATATATAGTATTCATAAACTTCACAAGTTTTTCCATTTTAACTGAGTCCATGTTTACCTAAAACAGCTGTAAGAGCCGTCACAGAGCTTGGGTCGCAAGGATTTTATTCCTTAGAACATTTCATTGTTATCTAAGTTCATTAGAGACGGAATAGTTCTAGAACTTTCTGATCAATTACATGTAGAACTCGAGCGAACACTTTCTGAAATACTGACCTGCGCACGTTATACCATTCCCACTGAATCCCCGTTTACACGAACAGCTATAAGAACCTTCATTGTTGGTGCAATCGGCATTTTCGTTACAAGGACTAGACTGCGTAGAACATTCATCGATATCTAAGTCCCAAAGGAAAAAAATGGTGGGGGTCTCATACCTAAAAATAAACTCGATTGAACACTCCCAGAAATCCCTTCCTTAACAACTAACCTGTACACGTTGTGCCATCTCCTGTGAATCCTTTTTTACAAGAACAGCTGTAAGAACCGTCACTGTTGCTGCAATTAGCGTTTTGGTCACAAGGACTGGAACTCACTGAACATTCATCGATATCTTAACGAGAATAAAAGAAAAAGACACGCAAGTTTAAAACATCTATCTGTACCATATAAAAAAGACATTGCATCTCCTACGAATCCTTGTTAACAAGTGCAGATGTAATCAAATGACCGTCAATCGACAAAAATTTTACGACCCTGACCCTGTTTGCAACTACAGTAGTACGAACCGTCGCTGTTGGTGCAATCAGCGTTCCCGTCACAAGGATTAACATTTATGGTGTGGAAGGAAAGTTAAAAAAATTACGGTTGTAGATCTCTCTGACCAAAGTAAATTGGGCACTTTATTATTAATTATTTAATTATAGTCAGCGTTCTCGCTACAGTGATTGGTATCTGAAGAACACTCATCGATGTCTGATAGCATGGAATGAAATATAGAAATGAACGGTTATAAGACAAACTGACTGACCAAAATGAACCCCAACACTTACAGAAACACCATAATCTGCCACATTTTACGCTAATTAGTACCTTCACAAGTCGTCCCGTTTCCAGTGAACCCCTCTTTACAAGTACAGCTGTTCGAACCGATATTATTGGCACATATGGCGTTCTTGTCACAGGGATTTGTATCTGCAGAACACTCATCAATGTCTAATGATGCGAAAAGAAAGATAAAGAAAAATGACTTTACAACTCTCTGACCGACATAAACTTAACACCTTAAAATGCTACAACCGTTATTACCTTCACAAGCCGTCCCGTTTCCAGTGAACCCCTCTTTACAAGTACAGCTGTAGGAACCGTCACTGTTGGCGCAATCAGCGTTCTCGTCACAGGGATTGGAAACTGCAGAACACTCGTCGATGTCTGATCGTAAGGAAATATATATAAAAAAGGAATTGTCATTTTGACCGAAATAAACATTAACCTCTCACGTCAAAGGGATTTGTATCTGCAGAAGAATCATCGATGTCTATTCGAAAGGAAAGAGAGATAGAGAGGAATCGTTTTAACACTCTTTGATCGAAAAATAAAAGAACTCCCTCAGAAAACACATGGACCAAAAAAATGCTACAATCGTTACTACCTTCACAAGTCGTCCCGTTTCCAGTGAACCCCTGTTTACAAGTGCAGCTGTACGAGCCGTCATTATTGGCGCAAACAGCGTTCTCGCTACAGGGATTGGTATCTGAAGAACACTCATCGATGTCTAATAGCGAAGAATGAAATATAGAAAGGAACGGTTATAGAACTAACTGACCAAAATGAACCCCAACACTTACAGAAACGCCATAATCTGCCACATTTTACGCTAATTAGTACCTTCACAAGTCGTCCCGTTTCCAGTGAACCCCTCTTTACAAGTACAGCTGTACGAACCGATATTATTGGCACATATGGCGTTCTTGTCACAGGGATTTGTATCTGCAGAACACTCATCAATGTCTAATGATGCAAAAAGAAAGATAAAGAGAAATGACTTTACAACTCTCTGACCGACATAAACTTAACACCTTAAAATGCTACAACCGTTATTACCTTCACAAGCCGTCCCGTTTCCAGTGAACCCCTCTTTACAAGTACAGCTGTAGGAACCGTCACTGTTGGTGCAATCAGCGTTCTCGTCACAAGGATTGGAAACTGCAGAACACTCGTCGATGTCTGATCGTAAGGAAATATATATAAAAAAGGAATTGTCATTTTGACCGAAATAAACATTAACCTCTCACGTCAAAGGGATTTGTATCTGCAGAAGAATCATCGATGTCTATTCGAAAGGAAAGAGAGATAGAGAGGAATCGTTTTAACACTCTTTGATCGAAAAATAAAAGAACTCCCTCAGAAAACACATGGACCAAAAAAATGCTACAATCGTTACTACCTTCACAGGTCGTCCCATTTCCAGTGAACCCCTGTTTACAAGTGCAGCTGTACGAGCCGTCATTATTGGCGCAATCAGCGTTCTCGTCACAGGGATTGGAAACTGCAGAACACTCGTCGATGTCTGATCGTAAGGAAATATATATAAAAAAGGAATTGTCATTTTGACCGAAATAAACATTAACCTCTCACGTCAAAAGGATTTGTATCTGCAGAAGAATCATCGATGTCTATTCGAAAGGAAAGAGAGATAGAGGGGAATCGTTTTAACACTCTTTGATCGAAAAATAAAAGAACTCCCTCAGAAAGACATGGCCCAAAAAAATGCTACAATCGTTACTACCTTCACAAGTCGTCCCGTTTCCAGTGAACCCCTGTTTACAAGTGCAGCTGTACGAGCCGTCATTATTGGCGCAAATAGCGTTCTCGCTACAGGGATTGGTATCTGAAGAACACTCATCGATGTCTAATGGCGAAGAATGAAATATAGAAAGGAACGGTTATAGAACTAACTGACCAAAATGAACCCCAACACTTACAGAAACGCCATAATCTGCCACATTTTACGCTAATTAGTACCTTCACAAGCCGTCCCGTTTCCAGTGAACCCCTGTTTACAAGTACAGCTGTAGGAACCGTCACTGTTGGTGCAATCAGCGTTCTCGTCACAGGGATTGGAAACTGCAGAACACTCGTCGATATCTGATCGTAAGGAAATATATATAAAAAAGGAATTGTCATTTTGACCGAAATAAACATTAACCTCTCACGTCAAAAGGATTTGTATCTGCAGAAGAATCATCAATGTCTATTCGAAAGGAAAGAGAGATAGAGAGGAATCGTTTTAACACTCTTTGATCGAAAAATAAAAGAACTCCCTCAGAAAACACATGGACCAAAAAAATGCTACAAGCGTTACTACCTTCACAAGTCGTCCCGTTTCCAGTGAACCCCTGTTTACAAGTGCAGCTGTACGAGCCGTCATTATTGGCGCAAATAGCGTTCTCGCTACAGGGATTGGTATCTGAAGAACACTCATCGATGTCTAATAGCGAAGAAAGAAATATAGAAAGGAACGGTTATAGAACTAACTGACCAAAATGAACCTCAACACTTACAGAAACGCCATAATCTGCCACATTTTACGCTAATTAGTACCTTCACAAGTCGTCCCGTTTCCAGTGAACCCCTCTTTACAAGTACAGCTGTACGAACCGATATTATTGGCACATATGGCGTTCTTGTCACAGGGATTTGTATCTGCAGAACACTCATCAATGTCTAATGATGCGAAAGAAAGATAAAGAGAAATGACTTTACAACTCTCTGACCGACATAAACTTAACACCTTAAAATGCTACAACAGTTATTACCTTCACAAGCCGTCCCGTTTCCAGTGAACCCCTCTTTACAAGTACAGCTGTAGGAACCGTCACTGTTGGCGCAATCAGCGTTCTCGTCACAGGGATTGGAAACTGCAGAACACTCGTCGATGTCTGATCGTAAGGAAATATATATAAAAAAGGAATTGTCATTTTGACCGAAATAAACATTAACCTCTCACGTCAAAGGGATTTATATCTGCAGAAGAATCATCGATGTCTATTCGAAAGGAAAGAGAGATAGAGAGGAATCGTTTTAACACTCTTTGATCAAAAAATAAAAGAACTCCCTCAGAAAACACATGGACCAAAAAAATGCTACAATCGTTACTACCTTCACAAGTCGTCCCGTTTCCAGTGAACCCCTGTTTACAAGTGCAGCTGTACGAGCCGTCATTATTGGCGCAAACAGCGTTCTCGCTACAGGGATTGGTATCTGAAGAACACTCATCGATGTCTAATAGCGAAGAATGAAATATAGAAAGGAACGGTTATAGAACTAACTGACCAAAATGAACCCCAACACTTACAGAAACACCATAATCTGCCACATTTTACGCTAATTAGTACCTTCACAAGTCGTCCCGTTTCCAGTGAACCCCTCTTTACAAGTACAACTGTACAACTGTACGATTTAAAACCGATCATCTATATCTGATGGCATAAAGAAACATAATGGCGTTCTTGTCACAAGGGTTTTTGAACCCCTATTTGCAGACACGATATTCATCAATGTTCTGACAGGGATTGGTAATGATGTCTGATGATACGGAAAGAAAGATAAAGAGAAACGACTTTATAACTCTCTGACCGACATAATAAGCTAATAGTAATAATAAGGTTTTTTACCTTCACAAGCCGTCCCATTTCCAGTGAACCCCTGTTTACAAACACAGCTGTACGAGCCCTCACTGTTGCCGCAATCAGCTTTCTCGTCACAGGGATTGGAAACTGCAGAGCACTCATTGATGTCTGATCGTAAGCAAATATATATATATATATATAAATTATTATGGAACTATTTGACCGAAATAACCAAGAACCCCTTGCGTCACAGGGATTTGTATCTGCAGAAAAGTCATCGATGTCTATTCGAAAGGAAATATTTACAATCACGTATAATTAAAAGGAAACATTAAGTTTTGATTAAGGGTACATTTCATCTAAACCATTGCTATCGTTTGTTTGCGGCTTGATGTTGTATTATTATTAGTGGCTGTTAATCTCATCTGTATGTAGGCCACGGCATGATGTATTGCTGAATTAGGTCTTCCGAGATCAGAGGCCCTTAAGAAGGAATTCACGAAAAAAATACCTGTACATATTGTGCCATTTCCCGTAAAGCCTTGCTTGCAAGAACAGCTGTAAAAACCGGCGCTGTTGGAGCAATCGGCATTCACATCACAAGGACCAGAGTCAGCGGAACACTCGTCGATATCTGATGATCATTGCATACAAACGTTGATCATAATCATGTTATTTTGTCATACGAGAGTGAACCAAAGTATTAGGGCCTGCTTGTAAGACTGTTGCTAGTCAAAAGGGACGTTTTAATGGTTTAACTTACAAGAAAAAGGCCACTAGTATGGCCTCCCATACCTTTACAAGAGGTTCCATTTCCGCTAAAACCTTGTTTACAAGTGCAGCTATAAGAACCTCCACTGTTCGCGCAGTCAGCGTTTTGGTCACAAGGACTGGAATCTTGAGAACACTCATTAATATCTAGAGTAACAAACCAAGGATAGAGTCATTACACATTACAAGAAGAACAAATGGAAAAAAAAAGAAAGGAAGAGCTAATAGCACCAATTCGTCACTACACCTCACTTTCCAACTAAAAATACGAAAAAGGACGGCGAAATTGTTTTTTAAGTTCAAATCGGAGCAATATTGTGAATAAAAAAATTGTGATTATCTACTCCTCTAGAACTACCTTTACAAGTCAATCCATCTCCAGAGAATCCTTCTTTACAAATACAGATGTGAGAACACATACACAGCAGACGTGACAAATAATCAAACTTTGTTCACAGTTTCAAAAGCATGTACCTTCGCATGATGCGCCATCTCCAGAAATGGGAAAAGACAATAAAAAATTCAGCTTGAAAGAGGTTAGCAAATCATGTTCCTTACCTTCACAAGTTGTGTTATCTCCGGTAAAACCTTGTTTACAAGTACAGCTGTACGAACCGTTATTGTTGGTACAAATAGCATTCTCGTCACAGGGATTGGTATCTGCGGCACACTCATCGATATCTGTCATTACACCAGTAGTAAATACGTCAAACGTGAGTTACAATTTGTTCAGCAAGGTGATGTAATCAAAGTGCTCTGTGAGCAAACTCGTAAATGACAGATGACTTACGTGATTTTTTGGATTATGTTTAATATTATCTGGTTTAGGGAATTTTGTGGTTGATTGTCATATTTAGAGTACGAGCAGTAGTTCAGTGTTCGCTAATGTAGCAAAGAAACAAAGTAACGTTGGGATAAGAAGGCATCACAATTGAAATGATCATGCTATTACATTTGACAAGGGTGGATGATGTCATGTGTTTTAAACGTATATCATTTTTGTTTCTGGTTCAAAAGAAAAGGTCGGAAGTAAATGTGGGTAAAAAGTGAAATTTACTGTCTATCATTGTAAATAATGGGAAATCAAGGCAATACTGTCTTAATAAAAACATTAATGATTCCCTCTTTATCAAATGAGACAAATGGAAACGCCCAAACTGCAACTGTCATTTTGGATTTCCGCCTGGGTAGATTTTGGTCACGTGCTAGGCAACGTATAATCAAGAACAAGATAGAATTTCATTTCAGGCCTATTTATCAATTTTGTGGTGTACAACTTTCGGATTTTAGTACGGAATATTTATTTTGAATCTTAAAATTGTCTTGAAACTTAAAAGAAAATTGTTATTTAAGAATTCACTGAAAATCGGTAGCCAAATTATTTGTTTAGGTGTTATTTGATTTTCGTGCTAACCTGTAATTTCGTCAATCGCCGGCACAGTTTATTGCTTCACACAGAAAAAACACACGATACGAAATTTAATGATCGATTTTGTCCCCAATCTCACGCCATAACAGAGAAAGCTTTTGAACACCTGTAAACTCCAAACGCTTCGGAGTAAGTGATATTTTTAATGAATCTTCGGATTGTTTTCAAGTTCAAGGATTGTAAATTACAATTGCATGAAAAACGAAGGTTGTTCTCTTATTTCAGTGTGAATCCTCGCACGCCTGCCAGTCGCTGGCGCCGCTTGTTGAAACTAAAACGAAAAAAATAAACTCTTCTAAGATTATCATGGGCTTATTTTTCACCCCACCACTATTCTTAGCAACAAAGGTCACCATTTCGTTTGTTTGTTACTCGCCAAAAACAATCAAATGCACTCAAAAGCCTAAAATCGAAAAAAAGTTTACAGGAATCGACCTATCGAGCGAGCGAGCGAGCGAGCGAGTGCCATTCTCCACATCATATTTACAACTCGCTCTTGCGCATGCGCGCAATTCACGAGTTAAAAAGTGATATTGTACCTTTACAACTTGATCCATCTCCAGTGAATCCTTGTTTACAAGTACAGCTATAAGAACCCTCATTGTTGGTACAATCAGCGTTTTCGTCACAAGGACGTGACTCTGCTGAACACTCATTGATATCTGATATGAGAGAAAAAGGGCGAGAGGAAAGTAGGATGGTGGAACATTTTTAGTACAATACGCGTTTATGCGTATAATTTGAACGCTACGAGTAGGTCAGAAAGAGAACAAATAACCGCCTATGGATGGTTTATATCTCAATAACAATCAGATTCGCTCTTTTTCACCCTATTGCAACAATTGAGTAAAAAAGATTATTTTGACTACAGCTGGTCGCCTTTGCTAAACCGAGCTTACGTCTAGCGAAGAGTCATCCACTAAATATTACATAATAAGCTCTGTTATGCACGCATTCTGATTGGTTCTCAATTATGATCTATTGGAGGACAGACGTATAGATGACGTCATCATTCAAACTTTTTTCACAGATGACGTCACAAAGGGGTAAGAACATCGGTGACACAGTCGGCTGCGCCTCGTGTGCCACTTTTTTGTTCTTACCACATTTTGACGTCATCTGTAATCTATTACTGAACAGACGCACGGCAACTTGGAATCTATTTGTTAAATGTAACCATCTGGATAAGTCAGGTCACCTTGGCAGTATGTTCCGTTTCCTGTGTATCCTTCCTTGCAAGTGCAATTGTATGAGCCGTCAGTGTTATTGCACGCAGCGTTCACATCACACGGACTGCGATCGGCCAAACATTCATTGATATCTGAAACGGTGTAGAAAATGAATTTATGAAGATTTTTCATGTAGACTTGTAGTGATTAGAAAAATAGGAGAGCAAAACAATTACCGACGAAGCAATCTCTATTATAAAATTAATGATAATAAATAAAACACGATTTACATAGCATCAATTGCAAGCGCTTCACACAATGAAAGAGAGGAAAACAGATAATTCAAATAAACATAAAGTGCTTGAAAATCTTAACTGTTAGGAGGTAGACCAGTTGGTTATTTATCTACACATACAAGTGAAGGATTTTTTTTTTATTGACCGCTCTACATTTTACGTTATGTGTCGCTGGTTAAACCTTCAAAAAATGAAAAGCAATGAAAATTTAAAAAATGGACTTTTCTACCTGTGCATGTTTCTCCATCTCCTTCAAATCCAGGAAGACAAGTGCACTCATATGAGCCTTTGATGTTCAAGCAGAATGCATTATCATCACAGGGATTAGTGGAACACTCATCAATATCTAATGAAGAACAAATATAAAAAATTCGATTATACTATGCAACAGCTTGAATTGAATACTGGCGGGGGTGACTCTATGATTTGTCTTTGCCTATATATTTGTCTATGTACTTTAGTCGAGTTTTCAATCCTTTACACCCTAACATCAGTGTGCTTGTTCTCAACACTTTTCTCTATACATTTTCTCAGATGCCGACCGCGAGATTTTGTTTAATAATCAAGACCTTCTTTAGTAGGTGATTATTTCCTTCATTCTCGTGACTAGATGCTAGTTACTCTCAAGGCTCAAGGGGTTAAAACATATAGTCACAAAAAAACATTTCTTTCAGTGAATATCTCTGCAGATTGATCCGTTTCCAGTAAATCCTATCCTGCGAGTACAGATCGAGGAACCGATGGTATTGACACAGTCCGCATTTTTGTCACACGGATTTGAAATCACACACTCATCAATATCTATCAAAAACAAAACATTTTAATATTTTCTCATCATTTTTGTTTTGTTTTGTCTTTTTTTTATTGCCAGCAGGCGTTTGTTCTCTTCACACAAAAACGGCGGATTTTCTTGCATTATGTAACATTATAAATGAATGTATTTACAACTAACAAGAATAACGACGTAATTGACAAGATAAATAGATAAATAAATAAGTACCCCACCTGTACATGTTTTTCCATCTCCTTCAAATCCAGGAAAACAAGAACAATCGAAAGAGCCATTGGTGTTCAAACAGGTTGCATTAGCATCACAAGGATTTGTTACGCACTCATCAATATCTGAACAAAAATAGAGGAATAACTTTTATTTTAAAGGCGGAGTCAAATTGGTTCTCTTTATCCTCCCTTTCCAACACCTTGATCATACTGAAAAACAATTTACCTCTCTCTTCTCTCTCTCCCCCACTTATCTATCTACTTTCCTTACACCAAATTTCTCAAGTTATAGATGCGTTTGATACACAGGTCATCCTTTACCTTCGTGGAACTTCTTTGACTCGAAAAATGAAACACTGTGAAGTGATTTCACCGCGTAGCATTCACAAGGTAATTGATGACTCTAATCAAAGCCCCCATCAATTACGTCTAACGCAACTAGAAACAGTTTTTGGCTTTGTAACAATAGGCGGAATTCAACAAGGCAACTTACCATTACAGACTATCCCACTTCCTGTAAACCCGTTTTTACAAGTGCAATTGTACGATCCGTCTTCATTGGAACAAACCGCATTTTCGTCACAAGGGCTGCCATTCTTTGAACACTCGTCAATGTCTACGTTCCAGCAAAAGAAGTAAAGAGATCACGTAGTTTACTAAAAAGCATCTTATATTAAGAACTAAAATAATACCAAATTAAATACCAGCACAGGATGTTCCATTTCCAGTGAATCCTTTTCTGCAGGTACAGACAAATGAGCCATTTGTGTTTTTGCAGTCAGCGTTTTTATCACACGGTTTGGAGATCAAACATTCGTCAATATCTAGAGAAAGACAAGAATCGTCACCTTCGTAACATTCCTAATGCTGAGGAAGGTGTGTAAGGAGATTTGACAGACAAACTGAAGTAAAAAAGAAATTTTTGTCACGGGTAAGCGTTCTTCTTACCTTGGCAAACCTTGCCATTTCCATCAAAACCAGGACGACAAGTACACTCGAAGGAACCGTTTGTGTTAGAGCACGCCGCATTGACATCACAAGGATTGGTTGTGCACTCGTCAACATCTATAAAAGGTTTTAATACATCAAAGTTAACTGTTTCTTTGACAAAGCAGTTTCTTATTGTGATTGACAAAAGGATTTTAAGTCTAACTTCCACGAACACTTGAATAAGGTAAGCCTTCTCTTAGCAGAAATCACTCTCGGTCTCAGCCTTCTGGATATGGGATGAAATTTCAATAGTAGCACAGGGAAAGAAAAGTGTTCCTCACAAACGTGAGAAGAGCGTTTGAAATATAAAAAATATATATATTTATATATATCTCAAACTCGTTCACAAGTGACCTACTTCGTACCTTTGCAAACCTTGCCATTTCCATCAAAACCAGGACGACACGCACAATCAAAAGAACCGTTTGTGTTTAAGCACGCCGCATTGGCATCACAAGGATTGGTTGTGCACTCGTCAATATCTATAGAGAGTGAAAATACATCAAAGTAAAGTGTTTCCATGACAAAGCAGATACTTACTGTGAATGATAAAAAGCGATAAAGTCTAACTTCCACGAACACTTGGATGAGGTAAGCCTTCTCTTAGCAGAAATAAGTCTCAGTCTCAGCCTTCTGAATATGGGATGAAATTTCAATAGTTGCACAGGGAAAGAAAAGTGTTCCTCACAAACGTGAGGAGAGCGTTTGAAATATAAATATCTCCAACTCGTTCACAAGTGACCTACTTCTTACCTTGGCAAACCTTGCCATTTCCATCAAAACCAGGACGACACGTACACTCGAAGGAGCCGTTTGTGTTAGAGCACGCCGCATTGACATCACAAGGATTGGTTGTGCACTCGTCAATATCTGTAGAAGGTTAAAATACATCAAAGTTAACTGTTTCCTTGATAAAGCAGTTTCTTACAGTGATTAACGAAAGGATTTTAAGTCTAACTTCCACGAACGCTTGGATCAGGGAAGCCTTCTCTTAGCAGAAATTACTCTCGGTCTCAGCCTTCTGGATATGAGATGAAATTTCGATGGTTGCTCAGGGAAAGAAAAGTGTTCCTCACAAAGGTGAGAAGAGCGTTTGAAATATGAAATATCTCCAACGCATTCACAAGTGACCTACTTCTTACCTTTGCAAACCTTGCCATCTCCATCAAAACCAGGACGACACGCACAATCAAAAGAACCGTTTGTGTTTAAGCACGCTGCATTGGCATCACAAGGATTGGTTGTGCACTCGTCAATATCTATAGAGAGTGAAAATACATCAAAGTAAAGTGTTTCCATGACAAAGCAATTATTTACTGTGGATGACTAAAAGCGATAAAGTCTAACTTCCACGAACACTTGGATAAGGCAAGCCTTCTCTTAGCAGAAATTACTCTCGGTCTCGACCTTCTGAATATGGGGTGCAATTCCAATAGCTGCACAGGGAAAGAAAAGTGTTCCTCACAAACGTGAGGAGAGCGTTTGCAATATAAAATATCTCCTACTCGTTCACAAGTGACCTACTTCTTACCTTGGCAAACCTTGCCATTTCCATCAAAACCAGGACGACACGTACACTCGAAGGAGCCGTTTGTGTTAGAGCACGCCGCATTGGCATCACAAGGATTGGTTGTGCACTCGTCAATATCTGTAGAAGGTTAAAATACATCAAAGTTAACTGTTTCCTTGATAAAGCAGTTTCTTACAGTGATTAACGAAAGGATTTTAAGTCCAACTTCCACGAACGCTTGGATCAGGGAAGCCTTCTCTTAGCAGAAATTACTCTCGGTCTCAGCCTTCTGGATATGAGATGAAATTTCGGTAGTTGCTCAGGGAAAGAAAAGTGTTCCTCACAAACGTGAGAAGAGCGTTTGAAATATAAAATATCTCCAACGCATTCACAAGTGACCTATTTCTTACCTTTGCAAACCTTGCCATCTCCATTAAAACCAGGACGACACGCACAATCAAAAGAACCGTTTGTGTTTAAGCACGCCGCATTGGCATCACAAGGATTGGTTGTGCACTCGTCAATATCTATAAAGAGTAAAAAATACATCTGAGTAAAGTGTTTCCATGACAAAGCAGTTACTTACTGTGGATTACTAAAAGCGATAAAGTCTAACTTCCACGAACACTTGGATGAGGCAAGCCTTATCTTAGCAGAAATTACTCTCGGTCTCGGCCTTCTGAATATGGGGTGCAATTCCAATAGTTGCACAGGGAAAGAAAAGTGTTCCTCACAAACGTGAGGAGAGCGATTGCAATGTAAAATATCATCAACTCGTTCACAAGTGACCTTCTTCTTACCTTGGCAAACCTTGCCATTTCCATCAAAACCAGGACGACAAGTACACTCGAAGGAGCCGTTTGTGTTAGAGCACACCGCATTGACATCACAAGGATTGGTTGTGCACTCGTCAATATCTGTAGAAGGTTAAAATACATCAAAGTTAACTGTTTCTTTGATAAAGCAGTTTCTTACAGTGATTAACGTAAGGATTTTAAGTCTAACTTCCACGAACGCTTGGATCAGGGAAGCCTTCTCTTAGCAGAAATTACTCTCGGTCTCAGCCTTCTAATATGGGATTAAATTTCGATAGTTGCTCAGGGAAAGAAAAGTGTTCCTCACAAACGTGAGGAGAGCGTTTTAAATATAAAATATCTCCAACTCGTTCACAAGTGATCTACTTCTTACCTTGGCAAAAACCTTGCCATTTCCATCAAAAAACCAGGACGACACGTACGTCAATATCTATAGAAGGAGCCGTTTTGTTGTTTACTGTGGAGCACGCCGCATTGGCATCACAAGGATTGGTTGTGCACTCGTCAATATCTGTAGAAGGTTAAAATACATCAAAGTTAACTGTTTCCTTGATAAAGCAGTTTCTTACAGTGATTAAGAAAAGGATTTAAGTCTGACTTCCACGAACGCTTGGATCAGGGAAGCCTTGTCTTAGCAGAAATTACTCTCGGTCTCAGCCTTCTGGATATGAGATGAAATTTCGATAGTTGCTCAGGGAAAGAAAAGTGTTCCTCACAAACGTGAGAAGAGCGTTTGAAATATAAAATATCTCCAACGCGTTCACAAGTGACCTACTTTTTACCTTTGCAAACCTTGCCATCTCCATCAAAACCAGGACGACACGCACAATCAAAAGAGCCGTTTGTGTTTAAGCACGCCGCATTGGCATCACAAGGATTTATTGTGCACTCGTCAATATCTATAGAGAGTGAAAATACATCAAAGTAAAGTGTTTCTATGACAAAGCAGTTACTTACTGTGAATGACTAAAAGCGATAAAGTCTAACTTCCACGAACACTTGGATGAGGCAAGCCTTCTCTTAGCAGAAATTACTCTCGGTCTCGGCCTTCTGAATATGGGGTGCAATTCCAATAGTTGCACAGGGAAAGAAAAGTGTTCCTCACAAACGTGAGGAGAGCGTTTGAAATATAAAATATCTCCAACTCGTTCACAAGTGACCTACTTCTTACCTTGGCAAACCTTGCCATTTCCATCAAAACCAGGACGACAAGTACACTCGAAGGAGCCGTTTGTGTTAGAGCACACCGCATTGACATCACAAGGATTGGTTGTGCATTCGTCAATATCTGTAGAAGGTTAAAAAATACATCAAAGTTAACTGTTTCCTTGATAAAGCAGTTTCTTACAGTGATTAACGTAAGGATTTTAAGTCGAACTTCCACGAACGCTTGGATCAGGGAAGCCTTCTCTTAGCAGAAATTACTCTCGGTCTCAGCCTTCTGGATATGAGATGAAACTTCAATAGTTGCTCAGGGAAAGAAAAGTGTTCCTCAAAAACGTGAGAAGAGCGTTTGAAATATAAAATATCTCCAACGCGTTCACAAGTGACCTACTTCTTACCTTTGCAAACCTTGCCATCTCCATCAAAACCAGGACGACACGTACAATCAAAAGAACCGTTTGTGTTTAAGCACGCCGCATTGGCATCACAAGGATTGGTTGTGCACTCGTCAATATCTATAGAGAGTGAAAATACATCAAAGTAAAGTGTTTCCATGACAAAGCAGTTACTTACTGTGAATGACTAAAAGCGATAAAGTCTAACTTCCACGAACACTTGGATAAGGCAAGCCTTCTCTTATCAGAAATTACTCTCGGTCTCGACCTTCTGAATATGGGGTGCAATTCCAATAGTTGCACAGGGAAAGAAAAGTGTTCCTCACAAACGTGAGGAGAGCGTTTGAAATATAAAATATCTCCAACTCGTTCACAAGTGACCTACTTCTTACCTTGGCAAACCTTGCCATTTCCATCAAAACCAGGACGACAAGTACACTCGAAGGAGCCGTTTGTGTTAGAGCACGCCGCATTGACATCACAAGGATTGGTTGTGCACTCGTCAATATCTGTAGAAGGTTATAATACATCAAAGTTAACTGTTTCCTTGACAAAGCAGTTTTTTACTGTGGATGACCAAAGGGGTTTAAGTCTAACTTCCACGAACACTTGGGTCAGGGAAGCCTTCTCTTAGCAGAAATTACTCTCTGTCCCAGCCTACTAAATATGGGGTTGGATTTCGATAGTTGCACTGGAATATAAAAGTGTTCATCACAAACGTGAGAGAGTTTGAAATATAAAATATCTCCAACTCGTTCACCAGTGACCTACTTCTTACCTTTGCAAACCTTGCCATCTCCATCAAAACCAGGACGACAGGTACACTCAAAGGAGCCGTTTGTGTTTAAGCACGCCGCATTGGCATCACAAGGATTGGCTGTGCACTCGTCAATATCTATAGAAAGTGAAAATACATCAAAGTAAAGTGTTTCCATGGCAAGGCAGTTACTTCGTGGATGACAAAAAGCGATAATGTCTAACTTCCACGAACACTTGGATGAGGCAAGCTTTCTCTTAGCAGAAATTACTCTCGGTCTCGGCCTTCTGAATATAGGATAAAAATTCAATAGTAACACAGGGAAAGGAAAGTGGTCCTCAGAAACGTGAGAGGAGTGTTTAAAATGTAAAATATCTACACGTCTTTCACAAGAGGCCTACTTCGTACCTTGGCAGACCTTGCCATCTCCATCAAAACCAGCCTTACATCGACACGAAAAACTTCCATCGGAGTTTGAACAATTAGCATTGACATCGCAATCGTTAGATCCTGTCTCACATTCGTTAATGTCTGTGATAAGAAAATTTTTAAAAAAGGTAATTTGCAAATCATTCTAGAAAATCAAGATGCAACTGTGTAAAATGATATAACTATTCACAACATCATACATACGTCTCTGTAATCTTAAGTGTTTTTTAAGCCAATCACATAATAAAGCATCACTAACAAGAAGAGTAGATCACGTCTGCATACGTGACCGCTGCAGTTAGCACAGCGGGTTTCGAGTGATTAGCTAAATGCTAATTCTGTGCGGGTAACTTATAGAATCTCCTCACGTTCCTGTGAAAGATGACTAGCATCAATTTTTGCTACTTTGGCACGTCAAGAGGAAAGTTTCTTGACAAACAATATCATCCAAAGATCTCGACCAATGCTCGAATTAGGACCTTTCGATCCGGAGACCGGCGCGCATGGCATTCAGCCGTCCTATAGGCACGTAAGTTCAAGGGTGGCCTGTTCTATCATCAATGCAGAACAAAAAGAGCAACCATAGGTCAAACACTTTGCCGTGACGCGATTAACTTCTGTGACTTCTCCATTTCTGTATTTACGGGGCGCCCACACGCAATTCCACCAGACTGCAGAATCACACAAAACTGGTGAGTCTTTCTCCGTTCTGCGGACTGCTCTACAGACAAAAAAAGTCAGTGGGAAGGTTAAGTCTCGGTCTTCATATCTTACCAGAACAATTCCCATCAAGTTCTTCTTTGAATCCTGTGGAACACTGGCATTGGTATGAACCACCTGTATTGACACATTCGGCACCACTTCCGCACGTTACATTAAAGATGAAACACTCATCGATTTCTGAAAAGGAGGATGTAAAACTTTGTATTTGTTCTATATACTTTCTGAGAAAAACGATTATCGAGCCTTTTGTTAACGCAAAAAACCTTTGCACAGCTGAAACGAAGGTTAACCACCCCCGTACTTAAATCTCTCACTCTCAAGTTGTCAATATCATTTCTTCAAACTGTTTGCTACAGATAATCTGTTCAGAGAAATTGATGAAAAATGAAAAGATACCCCTGGGTTGATATTTGTCACTTTTCTCGTCAAATGTTTACTCTGGAAAAAAAGGTCGAAACGAGTACAGAACAAAGTTTTTATCTGACCACGTGCTTTTTTATCAACTTGACGAATTATTGAATTGCAAGGAAAAATCCCTTCGCTTCCACCGGTGATAGTGAAAGGGGTCAACATGTCAACATGTCAAGCTAACTAAAGCTTATTTGTTTCATTTCTTTTTTTCCCGCATCGTTCAAATTGTTCGTCTAATTGGCAAAAAAAGCCCTGAAATATAAACACTGATAAAGAGGTAAAGGGAAAAGGGCAGAAAATTAGTATACTGTAAACCAAAGAACCAGTGAGAATGGATAAGAAAGAACAGGGTTTCAGATTAAGAAAAAATTCAGTCTAATTTTCGCAAGACGAAGCACCGAAGATGTGTAGTACACAAATTATTTCGCCCGTGAGAAGCAATTTATAAGACCATTAAACGTTTTACTACAAAGCTGGCTTGGCGGGCAAGCAGTTCTTTGCTGGTGTAATTACTATTTGTCTTGTGAACATTATTATTATTATTAAAAGGCAAAACTCACTATTACGTCTTTAGACAGTCAAAACACCACGAATCCACGACAAGGGTCTCTAAAAATCACCTACACTAAGGTGAAATCTTTTTGGCAAGTGACACCTCTATACACCATCCCGTTCGATCAAGATAGCTGGATACAGGATAATATTTTATCTATTTATTTGTTTGTATTTTTGCGCCCAAAAACCTCGATTTTGTCTCAAAAAAAAAAAAATAAATAAATAAAAAACGCACAACTTGGCTGATATTCAGCCACATTGACCTAACGGTTAGTCAATAACGCCTATGTATAGCAAAAGTGGCCTTTAGAAACGAGCGGCACACAGACCACACAGAGCCCTTGAAAAGTGAAACCTAATGGGACCTCAAAGCCGGTTTAAGTTTCCTTCCGTCAACATGTCATTTTGAAACGTGGCCAAAAAATTGAAACCAGAGGGGCAACACCGAATGTTGCAAAATAACAAAGTTAACATTACCGCATCATTTTTTTTAAGGGCAATCGACCTCATCAACAGAACTCTTCAAAGTAACGCTACTGAGGACTTCAACATCATTTAACCCTTCCTCTTAAAACCGCTAATCCTTTTTCCGATTCGTGTTATGACAGCCTATGGCTATGAATCAGTCTAGTGCTAATCTTGGTGCGCGACAAAGACTCATGAAGTTTTAAGCTTCTTTAACTGGATGTCTTGTCTCTGCTTAATCATTACTCTCTGAATTTAAGTCGATGCAACTCTAGTTGTAGTAGGTAGGTTCTGAAAATAGAAGACTGAATCAACATTGACAAAATTATCGCCAACTTTCTGTTTCTGTTGGAGATCGATGGAGACTTTGGAATGCGTTAGCTATAATATCTCAATGAGACACACACCAAACTAGGCAAGAGTGTTTACATCGCTATGGACCAGGTAGGCTTCAAAGAGAATTAACCAGAAGCGAGACGCGAACAGTTGCAGAAGATTCATTGTGAGAACTGCTGTATGAGTTTTAAATGACGGACAGTGGGTCTATCGCAAAGCACTTCAAAGTCAATTTGGAGTCGGATATTCCACAATAAAAAATGCAAACATTGCGTCTGCTATTTTCCTCTTACCAGC